ATTGGCATTCCCCTCCAGCCAGCTTTAGAGGAAGGAAGGGGTATTATTTGCAGGAGGCATAGAATTGAATGTGGTAGAAACAGAAAAGTTGGACCATGTTGGACCAAAGTTGTAGAAAGTCCAAAAAATAAAAATAAACATAAAAACTTAAGGTACCGTGGCTTTTAGGGTTTATGACTCACTCTGCTCAGAGGAAGATTCCCACACTCTTGGCTTCTGACAGCTTTCCAAAGTGAGTGGCATTTACCCACCCAAGAGAGGCTTCCGGTTGTGCTTGGTGGACGATGGCATGAGAAATAAAGGGTGACTTTCCCTTCAGCCTCCTCTATGCTTCGCCTGGATTCACATGGCAACGTGCAGTGCATCAGCTCTGCTTGTGCTCCCAGCAGACTCAAACTAAACACTGATTAGCCGAAGAGACTTCAGGGACGGCCTGTAATACAGTTATCAGGACAAATTTTATTCAAGTGCTTTTGAAATTTAGATCCAACGACTGAAATAATGACTTCAGATCTCTTTAAACTCAACCTCAAAACCTGTCGAATAATATCTTATTAGCTCCAGTATAAAAGCTGGCAGGTAGGACGCATAAATCCTGTTATTTAAAACAACGTTGCCAGTATTTCCAGCAGCCCTTCTTAACGGATGGCTTTGGAGCAGTCTCAAACTTCTTGGCCTTCAGTTTTTTCACCTATAAAATAGGAAGAGCAACAATTTTTCCTCCTTGGGTTAAATAAAATGCACGTAAAGCTGCTGCTTTGTAGAGGGGCTTGGCTTGAACTGCCCCAAAGAGTGGGCTGGTGGAAACAAGCTTTTCCGGAAAGCTGAGACAGTGTAATTTGCTTATGTGAAATATCAGTTTATTTATCAGTCAGAGTGACTCCAGGAGCCATCGCGGCCGCTGGGCTTTCAGTGGCCTAAAACAAGAACTTACTGCTCACACAGCCCGGCGCAGGTCAGGTCACCTTGCTCCGTCTCGGGGCCAAGCCATCTGGTCTGCGGGATCACAGCGCTGGAGGCAAGTGGGCGGTTAATGGTCTCCAGCCGGAAGTGGACGTCAGCGCTCACAGCCCTTTGGCCAGAAGTTGTCATGTGATCCAAGAGCAAGGGAGACTGGGAAATGTAAGGGAGCACATGAGCTGATGAAATGTGGTGCTGGGGGTTTGCTCTCTGGTACAGCAGTCCTGATGCCCAATTCTTCAGATTTTTCACCCACGCACGTTGTAGTCAGACTCTTAGGCTGGGCTTACCCATGAGCCCATGAACAAAGGTTTTAGACCACTAATCCTGAATTGGCATCATCGACCTCACTGCAGTGGCAATAAGCAATGAACTCTGCATAAATAATAAACTAAGGCACTAAGTGTGCCCTAAGTGGAAAGTAGAAAAGCAAAGCTTGTACTGTGACTCATCTCAAAGAAATGGATTTTTGTTTTGTTTTGAGGTGGAAATCCAGTGTTTAATCAGCTTGTGAGGACTTAAGCTCAAGGATAGAACAAGGGGCTAGCAGATTACATCTACATTTTCCCATGTTTGATATTTTACTTTGGATTGATTTGTTAGAGAAGTGTCTTAGTAATCTCTGAGTAAAAGTAGGCTAATTTTTTCCAAGGGATTCTTCCTTAACATTCTTCCTACCCAGGGGGACATCATGAGAACCATGTTGCTTATTGCTCGGCTTCTGCTTCTCTGAAAAAGGTTTGCTCAGGGGATTCACATCTCCCTTGGAGAGTGTTTTTCTTTGATTTTTATCATTCAGATGCAGCTCGTAAAGACCCCATGCCTGGGATGAAGGCAGGTAATGCAATTGTTTATGGAAACCTGTTGTGTGTTCTGAGAGTATCCTTTCAGAGAATAACCCCAAGTTGAGACATCAGCTCCTCAGATACTTTTAAGAAGAAAATTGGGTTCCTTAATCCTTCAGTTCATGTCTCTTTTTAAGTGTTATTTTCCAGTTTGACTAACTGCAGATTTCCCACTAAAATTAAGGAAAGGGACTTAACATCTGGTCAAAACTCTAATAGTTCTTAATGCTTGACTGAGACCCCACAGTTTGCAAGCGAAAGTCCCCTTCCATTCATTCATTTCATTATATCCCCTGATTTTTCTGGATAAGCCAGGGCTCCCTTGGGTGGAATACTTGTATTTTGGGAACACTTTGTATTTCCACAAAGGTTTACACATTTCTAGTTGGCAAGACTCCTGCCATTTAGATGCAGGAAATAGAGAACATTCCTAAAGAAACAGATGGAAAGACAAAAAAAGAAACAGATCCAAATACATATAAGCTCATTTACTCATTCATCCACCTGCTGACATACCCATTGGTTTATTTACTATTCATTAAACAAGTGGTCAGTAGGCACATACACTCGTGGCAATGACTCCCCTATGAGGTAAAATGATGGGCTGATCAAAAGTAAAACGCTGGCGTCAGAAGGTCTCCATTGAGATCTTGTCTAGACGCTGATTACCTTTGTGTTTTCCACCATTTTTTAATCTAGGCAAGTAGAAAATTACATAGTCATCCTGTGTTTATGTGGCAAGATTGTGGGCTGCCTTCTAACTTCAAAAAGCAGTTGTCAATGATGACTGTTGTAGTTGTTGGCCTAGATCAGCCCACAGCTGGCTCCCAAGCCCAACGCAACAGTCAGCATCGCCCCACTGCCTGGTATCGAAACAAGGGTAGTGCTAAAAGTAGTGCTTTCGTTCTGAGTCAAGTCAGAGGTGGATGTGTAAATGTCCCCAATGCCATAAACGGCTTAAGTGAAGAAGCTGCCAGTCCCCTTTGGGGACCAGGTCTCAGACTCACACCTGTCAGCAAGTATGAAGAAATCAGACTTTCATCAGTTCCAGCTCAACCTTCTAGAACAGCCATAAAGAACTGATTTGGAGCAGGAATCCTCAATGTGAATTTTGCTTTGCACCTTACTAACTTGGCAAATCTGGAGATTGAAGTAGTAACCTCTGTCTTTCTTAGCCTCAACTTTATCATATGTGACAAAGGAATAATTGTAATATCTACCTCGCTGGAAAAAATCAGAGGCGAGGTTGTCTTTTTAGGCACCTATCAGAGTAGACCCTTTAAGGAACTATTTGATTACATTGCTGCTAAGTGGTAGTAAAGAGAGGCCCCCAACTCTGTAGGAAGTGAAAACAAGGCCAAAATCTTAATCGGTATGCTCAAGAAAGGCTTCTTCAGTGAGGGTGGTGGTGTGGGTCTATTGCCTAGGAAAACGGAAGTGGTCTGAGCTGTAAGAAATATGTAAGAAAATATTATTTTTTGATTCTAGTTTTCTCTCATAGGTAGGGTTCATGGAATTTCTTTTTTTAAGGTTATTTTTTGGAAAGAATGAATGATACAAAAGGTAGTGAAACTGCTATGAGGTGCAGGTATAAATCAGTCCTGTTTTGTTTTTGTTTTTGAAGGGGAATTTCCCATTCTAGCAAAGCCTATAAACATAACCAACTCCTTTGATCCACTAATTTCCAGAATGACATGCATCATTTCCAGGTAATAGATTAGAGACTCATTTTAGTAGGATATTTTGGTGTTCTCTGTGCGTGCTTTCTCCGAGTTTTCAGGAAAGAACAATGTAGCTTTAAAAGGGAATAAAGGCCTCCTTGTGGGTTCCACTGGTTATCATTTTCTTGTCAAGGAAATAAGGTAAGCTGCCAAACCCAGTGTGAACCCCCTCATTGCCACCCACGCGTGGGTAAGCCACGGGAGCACAGATTTCTCATCCTGGGGAAATATTAGTAATATCTTGAAGAAATGGAGACGGGCCGACATGCAGAAAGTTTGTTCAGGTCCCAGGACACTTAATTAGAGTGAACCATTAAAAAAAAATATGCTGGAACATTTCAAAGTCAGGTTTGTATACACAATGGCAGCCTGGTCTTGCTGAGTTCCCATTAATAAGTCCTGGCCTCCGTGCCGGGGAATGAGCTGTGGGTCTGGGAATTGCGTATGCTGGGAACACTGTCTCCCTGGGAGGGAGCAGAGCTGGTGTTTTAATAAGCATGTCACACTTAGGAATTTAAATCGGTCATCCTCCCTCCCTCTCACAGGGAAGGTGATAGGATTATTCTAGTGCTTCTGAGAACCACACCGTACAAGGAGTAGAGGAAAAGGTCCTGTGTTCCCATCGCCCAAGTTTGACAACTGTTTATGTGTTGCCAATTCATATTATCCGTTCTTCCCCTCCCCTGCTTTACCTGAGTATTTAAAACAAATCTAAGCTATCCTGTCATTTCACCCATCAGTGCTCCTGCTTTCTCCCAGACACACATTCATCTCTAATGGAAAAGGTCGCTTTTAATTTCTCACCATTTTTATCTGGCCTAATAATAGTAACAATATTCTCTTAATAGCTTATAAAATTAACGTCAAGACCTCTGTTAATTTTCCTGATTCCCTTTTGACATTTGGTTTGAATTAAGTTTCAGACAAGGTTCAAATTAGCACTGGTAGTTATATTTTATGTCTCTTCTTCAAAACGTTTTCAAACCATATTATACAAAAGATACTACTACAGAACCATGCACAGCACAAGAAAACTAGAATTTTTGCTCTATCTGTTCCTGCTCCATCGTCCTCATGACGATCATCATCATCCCTAGATCTTCTAGCAAAGCTCCGTTATACAGTTTAATCATCTCATGACCAGACCTTCACTCTGAAAGTCTTCTGACTTTTTCAGAAATTAAATCCATCTCAGTGCCCAAATCTTTCTCATCAGTGAAGATGACTAAGCCTTCATCTAGCACAGTGGCATCATCTCAGGTACATTCAGAAAAGATGCTCTAAAATAGGTTTGGGGTAACCAGTCACAGGGTGAGAGTTCTCCATGTGTCTGGTCTGAAGGGCACTCAAGGAGATATAACAACACCAAGTTTGCATGACCCAAGGGTGTCATGCCTACACGCTGACTTAGCTGTTCTAGTCCAGGCTCTTCAGTTCACCTGTAAATGTAGATGACATATTTGTTTTCATGCAGATAATCGCTTATCAGCCGTATGGAAAATCCGTGGACTGGTGGGCCTATGGCGTCCTGCTCTATGAAATGCTGGCTGGACAGGTAATGTTCCACTGTCTCCACTTGAGTTCTGGGCCGTGGTGGCAGGGCCGGGCAGAGCAGCGTGGCCAATGTGTTCTGACTTCCCTGGCCCGGGTAGAAGAGGGAGAGTCTCCCCTGTCACAGGAATTGCATCCATGATGCACAAAATGACCTCCTGGTCACCAAAGTCAAGCTGAAGCCTGCAACTTGGAGGGGAGACCATGTGACATGCGCATTGTACACCAATGCGCACTACACCTTGATGACAATAATGGCCTATAAGTTTTCGGTATCTCAGTGCTGGTTTGTCCAGACCCCATATCTGTACTTGGCATTATTATTAATGTCCCCATAACTTCTCCCATCTCTTCCCACCTGAAGGTTGCCAGTTCACTGCAGTTTTCACCAATGTCCAGCAAGGCTGACTTGGTGTCAGAAAGGTAGATTAGAGATGTTGTAGGCACTTCTGCTGACCAGGCAGTGCCTAATACAACAACTTTGGTAGCTGTATCATTGGGATATAAGTCACCATTAGCTTAACCCCCAATCTCCGTGACTTAACACAAGACAGACTTACTGCATGTTCTTTCATGGTTCTGTTTGGGGAATGGGGAACCCATCTACGTAGTCATTCAGTGCCCAGGCTTCTTCCATCCACTAGTTGACGCCACCATCTTTTAGGGTCTCAGTTTCCTCCTCCGAGTCCGTTATTCAGCCAGCCAGTGAAGAGAAAGCAGGACAGTCACCCGAATGTGTTGGGGGCCAGTTCTAGGGATGGTACCCCTCCACCCACATGATTCGTCCCTCTGAGGCCCACAGGACCGAAAGTACAGCGTCCCTGAGATCTCAGGGGGGAGCAGGTTTGGGGAGCCCCTCCCAGATCTCTGAGGTTGTGTCTCAGCGTGATTCTGCAGTGAGCAGCTTCTGTGGCCCCCAGCACTCAGGTACAGCAGGTCTTCAAATAACCTCACTTCCTCTGACATTTCTTATGACGTCGATGAGAAAAAAATTCCCAGCCAATTTTGAACAAAATGATGTTACTCAAGGACCCGGTTTCATTACATTTCATTTCGCTTAAAGCCACAGTGTCCAAGAACATACTCATGACTCAAGTGAGGACTCATGGTACCAAGGAGTTTGGGCTTCCACAGCCAGAACCCTTCTTGAGAAAGAAGTGCCCGTGTCAAACAGCAGAGCTACACCCAAAGAAATCTCTGTCCCAGAGGAAATGTCACCGTTCTGACATTACAGCCATTGACCCATCACTTATGCCTTCTGCACGTATTTATTGAACGCTTACTCCAAATATGGTGGTAGCTGTGAACCAGATGAAAGAAAACCTTATCTCCTTGACACTCACAGAGAGACAGAATAAGCGAAGGAAAGTATAAAGCAGCTTGTGATCAACTAAGAGAAAAGTAACAAAGGAAGGAAGACAGGATATTGGGAGAATTGGAATTTCAGCTCAGGTGGCCAGGGAGCACCGCATGTAGAAGGCAGCGTTAAGAAGGAAGGGGAAGAGTGGCCATGTGGGTCTCGGGGAAAGTGCCTGCCCCGCAGAGGGAACAGCAAGCGCAGAGGCCCTGGGGTGAGCGTGTGCAGCCGTTTTACAAAATGGTGAGGAGGCTGCTGATATGGCTGCAGCAGAGTGGGCTGGAGCCGCAGAGGGAGTCCTGAGGTCCCGGAGGAAAGGGGCAGCCTGTCTGGGTACACAGGCCATTGTAAATCCATTGAGTCCACTCTGAGGTGGGAAGCCACCTGCAGGGTTTCTGTTATGCCCTTTTCATGGCGTCTCGCGTCTTTTAGTTACCAAAATAGTCTTAGATACCAACACATTTGAGGTACTAGTCTGTGTGGGCCAGTACTTCTCAGTAAAGATTAATTGACATTTACAAAGTGGCTTTTTATTATTGATTGAGGTGTTTCTCCCCCAAAAAAAACATACTCCGAGGCCCAATACCTCGGTTTGTCAACACAGGAAAACAGAGAATGCAGAACCACTGTCACTGGGGCAACAGCCGGCAGAACACAAGTTGCCGGCTCCTTCGGTTAATTTCCCCTCTTTAGAATTTTGACAATCCAATTTGACTGAACTGGCGGCCCCTGGGGAGCGTTCAGGAAGGCACAAAGAGCAGAGCCCCCTCCTTGATCCCGCTGAATGCTCTGACTCTGGAGTGGGAAAACAAGCCCTGCTTTCATGAAGAGCTGCATTTGCATATGCCAGGAACCGGATGGGCTGGGTGGACAGAGTCCATCTGTTTGCGAGGGCCCTTGACGAGAGGAAATGAGAGCGGGCGAGGGTGCAAGTGTCCGGCCCGCAGCACAACGGTCACCCTCTCCCAGACGGTCCTGTCCCCGTCTTCTCTGGGCCTTCCCGGGACGTCATTCCCGAGTGGAAAACTCAGGGAATGAAGCACCCAGCACCCAGCAGCGGGGTCCCCTTTGGGGTGCATTTGGAGGTCCCGCCTCACTAGCGGACGGAACCAGGGTGACTTCCGGGTCCGAGTTGAGGGTTTTCTCACTGCAACCCCCTCCCTCCCCGTAGCGGTTCCATAACAGTCTGGCACATTTTCGTTCTTTCCCATCCTGCTACTCAGCGTCAGCCTGCCCTGTGGGGTCCATCCCTTGTCATTTTTATGCTCTCTATTAAAAGTGGCAGCACTCTTCAAAAATGGCCCTCAGGCACAGGGGTGCCCAGGTGATGGCCACCTGCCAGCTCATGCCTGTCCGGTGCTAACACGAGGTGTTCACCCATCCCTTCCGCCTTCCTTGCTCCACCCAGTGTCATTGTGTCCCACATCAGTTCTGCTGGCATCTCAGCCTCAGCCCTCGGAGCTGCAGACACCTCGGAGACGCAGCGGAGGGGAGAGGGGTTATTGAAAATTAGGGTCAATGACAAAAAGGATTGATGAGCGGGTTTGATGTGTTCCCTTTACTCATGGGGACGGCAGATGAGCAGCAAAACTAGTTTATTGCAATTCTCTCCTCATTTGCTTTAGTTTCTGGCAGGCGCTGAGGGGACAGTGACGTATAAACAGCCTGAGTCTTTCTGCAGGGCCTGGGTGACCTGATGAATATGACTTAGGGCATAAATTGTGCTCAGCCACCACCCGCATGAGCATATCGGGGTGCGGTGTTCCCGGGCCAGCCCTCTCTCTGGGTCCTTTCTGCCAGGGTGCTTTGTTGAGTCAATGATGGATGCCTCACCCCAGCACTTCAGCCTGAATGGCCCTTGGGTGCGCCCCGGCCCCGCACCCACCCATGCTGGTTGCGGGCAGACCTGGCAGGACCCCCAGGCACTCACTAGGAGGGTTGTGGGGGCCATTTTGGAACTCATGGGCCATCATTCCTCACTTGTCTGCTTAACACTCACAATTACAATAGGGAAGACAGGGACCCTCCCAGTTCAGAGAATTTCTACAAGAAGCCGAGACTTGTTAACAGGTTTCTTAGCTTGAAACACAGAGTCCAGATTTATGAAAATGGTAAAATCATCCCAGGGCTGGGGAAACTGGAGAGAAAGGTGCCGTGGTCTTGTGCTAAGGGCCTGTGACGTGTGTCCTCCCCCCTCCATTGTCCGGGGCTCAGCAACTGCATCCTGGAGAGGAAAATGACTCTAATTATAACTTTTCACCGCGGACCTGCTTCAACTCCGAGCCTGTGAGCAAGCAATTACCTAGAAGAATGTTCCAGGGTGACCTGCAGACACTTAACAAGAGCCGTCAAAATGCTCACATCCTTTGCAGCCTAATCCCACACCTGGGAAGTTATTCCTCGGAAGTAACTCCGAGAAGAAAAATGATATGCACAGAGGTGTTTGTAGTTATCCATTTTTGGAACATGGCACTGGAGTGGCAGACATGAGCCCACCTGGACGATGGACACCGTGGCGGAGGAGCTGGGAGCCCCAGGGGCTACAGGGAAAACGTGTCTGCCGCAGTCAGTGAAAAGCAAGGCGCTCCAATTATGCATCGTGCTTGGAGATCAAAAGGCCTCGTAGGCTCTTGACTTGGATTATCCCTGGCTCAGCCCCTGGAGCATTCCAGACGCCGCATGTCGCTGGAGAGAGGTGGTGCCTTTGTCTCTCCATGGCCACCTTCAGCCAACTTCCAGGCGTGCAACTGGGCTCCCAGCCCAAGACTGAAGAGCCGACACAGCTTGGTGTTGCATGGCTGCCATTTTGAAATTCTTTAACGAGGAGCTGGGTTTGCCTTTGGTGCTGAGACACAAAAATGATGTAGTACCTCCTGACCTGGAGGCCCTCAGGGACCTCGTGGTGAGGTGTAGGCACAGAACCTGTGGAGTCTGTACACAAAGCAAATCCAGAGGGAATGGTGCTCCACAGAGGTGCTCCCTCCAAGCAGAAACCACCGTGCTTGTTTTAGTCATAGAATCTCCATGTGCCCCATTTATATAGGTTTCTAGAATCCTCCCTGCCCCCCCAAAAAAACTGGCACCAGACCCCTCACCCCAGGTGAGGTTGGTCCTTCTGTCTTACCTGGCCCCAAGGTTGGGCTCTTTATAGACTTGGTGTCTTGCCCTCCAGTTCTGTGGCTCCAGTGTGCCGACTCCAAGTCCCTCACATTGAGGGTGTATGTGGGGTGGGGGGACTGAGGTTGGGGGTTGGATGTGTGAGGTGGGGTGTGTGGGGGTAGCCAAAGGAAGTTCGGCTGGATTCAATGGCTCCCACCTCGTGGTTGGATAGGAGAGAACAGCCCACCTGCACGCTTGCCGTCGGTCCCTGACATGCCCTGCCTGAGCCCTAGACTTCACCACAGGGGCCATGTCCACCACAGGAACTGTGCCTCTTTTCCATGGGAAGGAAAATGCAACAAGATTAAGTGCAGAGGGACTTTCCCTCTGCGGTCACGCCCTGAATAAGCTTCAGGTTAACCCTCCACCAGGAACCCTAAGAAATGTCCCATAAGCCCACTTACCCCATGTGCTGTCCTGCCAGAGCGACAAGGAGCCGATAGACTTCTCAGGATTAAAGACATCCTGAGGAGAAAGCCTGAAGGGCACCCTGAGAGCTCTGGCCCCCCTGAGGGTTTAGCAGCACCCCCCTGCAAAGGCCAGCTCAGAAACTGTTGCAGAAGGTGAGTCACTCGCCCACGGACACCCAGCAGGAGGTAGGAGAGCTGGAATTCTGGTCCAGGTGACCTTGGCACCGTGACCTCCCACTGTCACACAACCTGCCCACGCTGGTGCAGGTTAAGCTTCTAGCTCCCCAGTGGGTCAGAGGTCAGGATGTGAATGCCCAGCCTGGGGAGGCCCCCCTTGCCTGTGTTCTGACACCCCCTGCACCCCCTGTTCAGAACCCAACAGCCTTCATGTTCCCACCTTCCAAACACAAAGGCTTCTGACATCCAGCTTGATCATAATTAGATTTATAACACATAATTAAAGATTAATGGTTAATTATAATTTATTTGCAAATCATTAAAAGCATTACTCGAAACATTTTCCCTAAAGATGGTTTGGGGTTGCCCGGAGCAAGATAATTAAAGGGACGGAAGAAAACGTGAAAACACACAACCCCCAACCTAATTAGGAGACTCAAGTCCCCCCACGCGCCTGCAGAGCGACTCGGCCCGCGTCTATCCGCGGCTGCGCCCGGCGCCCTGTGCCATGCTGACTCCACCTAAGTACTTTCTCCACCTTCTCTGCCCCGGTACAGCCTCCGTTTGATGGCGAGGACGAAGACGAACTCTTCCAGTCCATCATGGAGCACAACGTTTCCTACCCGAAGTCCTTGTCCAAGGAGGCCGTTTCCATCTGCAAAGGGGTGAGTAGTCTGGACTGCGCCGGGGATCACAGGCCCAGGGCCGCTGGGCACTCCCTCCCCGCGCTTCTCAGCGAGACGAGGCCAGCACCAGGCCAGACCCCAGTGTCCGGGTGTGCCAGGGACCCGTGGCCTTCTCGTGGCGGTGCAGGAGTCTGACGAATAACAGGGTTGTGCAGGCAGCCGGTGGCCTCTGAGCTTCCTAGCGGCAGGGTGGGGCCGGCCTGTGGCCCTGTCGGGCATGCGTGAGGCTCCCGCAGGAGCCTGGTGATCGCCTGGGCCCGCTCCCCGGAGGGTCGTGGCCGGTCGCGGGGGCCCCTCAGCCCCGAGGTTCTCATGGGACGTGCGGAGCCCCGCGAGGAGCCCTGTGACGCCTGGGTGGTCGCCAGGGCTGAGCCGGCCATTTGGCGAGATTTGCGGCCTGGCCACGGGCGCCTGGGGTCCGGGTGGCCGCCATAGGTGCCAGCTGCTCCCGGCTGCCGCGTGGTGGAGGACAGCTTTAGGAAACCTGAAGGGGACATCACCAGGTGATAACTGACTCGCGCAAGGAGGTGGGGACGGAAGGAACTCACAACACACACACAGCGGGCGGGGACGCCTGTCCCCACTCTCCTGGTGCCCGGCTGTGGGGCAGAACCCTCACAGTGGCCACCACACCTGAGAGCCCGTTTGTCTTCGTTGTGGACCTCACTCAGCCATGGAGCTGGCCCTGGGACATCCGGACACACGGCCCAGTGGCAGGGGGCCAGGCAGGGCACCAGAGTCTACCCTCCGGCCTGCTCTTTTTCCTTTTTTCTTTTTTTGGAGGGAACAGGTAGTCCCTCTTGTTTTCTCATTTTTCAGCCTAAAAAATTGATAAATAAAATTGTGACCTGCTGGTGTCGCACCACGTGCGAAGCCCGCCAGGTCCGGCCTTCCCTAGCTGGGGGTGGTGCTCACGCCCACGGCCCAGGCTGGAACCCCCCCACCCCCCATCCCGCCTCCTTTCCAGCTGATGACCAAGCACCCGGGCAAGCGGCTGGGCTGCGGGCCCGAGGGCGAGCGGGACATCAGGGAGCACGCCTTCTTTCGGAGGATCGACTGGGAGAAGCTGGAGAACAGGGAGATCCAGCCGCCGTTCAAGCCCAAAGTGGTGAGTCTGGGGCGCGAGCTATCTTCTGAGCCCCACTTTCCCACACACCCTTTTCTGAAGAGGCCAGAGGCCCACCCCAGGCCTCTGCATGGATAACAGCTGCAGGTGACTGAGCTCAGAGCTCCTGCCTGCTTGGAGAGCAAGGACAGGCCAGGCTGCAAGAGGGTCTGTGCCAGTTGTGTACCCCCCCCCCAGGGGAGCTGGGAGCGCCCCTCAAAGTGATTCAGTAGCCAGGGCACTCGGGAAGCCCTGCAGCCAGACCAGCTCAGACGCCAGCCCAGGCGCGGCCCCCGTCTCTGGCACTGCCGCCTTTCATGGGGCTCTTCCACGGGATTCCCTACGCTGGGCCCTGTTCTCCAGGGTGTGCCAAGTGGGCATATTGACTCCAGTTTGCAGTTGAGTAAACTGAGGCACAGAGGGACTGAGTGACTTGCCCAGGGCACGCAGCTGGCTGGGGGTGGGGGATCGGCCATCTGCATGACCTCCACGCTGGCCCTCTGGATGCGAGTTGTAGCCACTTACAAGTCGGTCGCCCCTCTCTGGAGATGCGCTGAGCACCCTTCGACACCAGCCTCTCCCGAGAGCCATTCCTGAGGCTCATCCCGGGGCCAGGCAGTTGCCTCTCCCAAGACCCCAGGGAAAGCAGCTTCACTCCAGTCCTTTCCACCGTGTTGCTGGGGCCCAAATCTGTCTCCTCTGACAGGCGCCCTGTGAGCAGGCCAAGAGGACCCTCCCGGGCCTTTGTCCTCAGAGCCGTGTTCCCTCGTCAAATATGCTGATGTCTCCTCTCAGGATAAAACTGCTGGCGGTGAACCAACTGGTTGTATTTTTCCAAGATATTTCTAGCACCCACTGAAGAAAAATTAAAAGTAATCAGGTCACTAGATTGACCTGACCCTCTCTGTAGCCAGACTTGGGGTGCCCAGGAGCCCTGCCCTGCCGTCTGATTTTAAGGGGTGAAGACGGTGATACCTGACCTCAGCAGAGAGTTCCTCAGGGATTTTCTTTTTCCCATCTCATATTTATTCAGCCTTCTTAAAGTCTGAAAGGAACACAATAGACTCTTACCTTGGGCTTAGCTTCTCTGCAGGAACAGCGTGAGACGCACGGTCCCTGCGTTAAGGGTTGAACAAAAAGGCACTTGCTTGTCAATCTGGGAGTTAAGATGCTGCAAGGTCACCAGTGAACACTTCTTCTACTCTTCCCTGCCTTATTTTCAGGAGAAATTGCTCATTGGCACATTCTCCCTCTTTCAATGGACACCAGGACTCTAAGTGTCAGGCACAGGGGAGACACAGGGTGACCTGGCCGCAGGTTGTTTGCTCTGGGCTGGCCGCTAGCCCGATCTGCGCTTCCCGCCATCTGCCGAGTGCTGCTGTTCAGTTGGTTTTGTTGTTGTTGTTGTTACTGTTTTTTAAAGATTTATTGATGCACACAGAGCTGGAGTACAGGCCAGAGGTGTAGGAGTGCTGAGAGGATTCACCAGAGACAGTGAGGAGCAGAACAGGCAGATTGTCGAAGTCCACTGCTGAGGGGGGCAGCGAGCGGGTCAGGAGAGGTCTGCGGCGCCGTGTGGGTCAGCTCTGGGCCAGGGATCGACTCGTGCTGGGGTGCCTTTAGCTTCCCAGTGCTGTGCTTTAACCCCCTGTGCCACCAGGGAGGGCCTATTTGGTTGGTTTTTAACTGAGTACTAATGAAAATCAAAGAAAGAACACATCACCTCTGGCTGTGAAGAAACAGCCGGGGCTCTCAAGAGGACGAGGCGGAAGGTTCTGTGGGAAATGCCCATCCACAGCCTGTGCTGGTCACCTCGAAGGCCCCGATTTCACAGGGCCACGAGTGTGGTCAGAACTTGATGGTGGGTAGATCACCAGAGTTAGTGTATGGTTCCTTCTTCCTTCTTCTTGCAAGAATGTCTGTGGTCAGCTAAGACGAGTGTCGTCTTGGTCATCTTGCCACCTCTTCCTCCTGCTCTCTGCCTCCCTCCTCCCTCCTTTCTCGCTGCTCTCTGCGTGGACAGTCACACATACGCATGTGGTTTCATGCTGAACCCCTTGAGAGTGAGCTGCAGCCACCGCCTCTTCGCACCTGGATAATGCTGTGTCTGTTTCCTACAATGAAGGATGTCTCGGGCCGCTCTGTTCTTTTTTTTTTAAAGATTTATTTATTTATTCATACAGAACTGGGGTACAGGCCAGAGGCTCAGGGGCGGTGAGAGGCTTCACCAGAGACAGAGTGGGGAGCAGAATAGGCAGATCGACGAAGTACACTGCTGAGGGGAGCAGTGGGTGGGTCAGGAGAGGTCTGGCTCGCCATGTGGTCTCCTCTGGGGAAGGCAGCAGGCGGGAATTGAACTCATGCGGAAGTGGCCTCAGATTCTCAGTGCTGTGCTTTAACCCGCTGCGCCACCAGGGAGGGCCCGCTCTGTTCTTTTAAGGGGCCCTCTGGAAATGTGTTCATACAGAGCAGAGAGGAGGAGGGGCCTGGTGAGCCACTGATCGGTTCTCTCGGGGAGCGGTGGGTTCGTTTTCTCGGTCTTCGGGGGGAACCAGCAGTCGTGATGCTCATTAAAATTGAGATGTGCCAGGCTCAGGGAGTTTCACTGATGACACACGAGCACTCGCCCGCCCTTGGAGACTAGAAGCGGCCGGGTCACGGTGTGTTCAGGTTTGAGTTAAGCCTCTACACCCGACGAAGACGGCATTGGGGTTCATTAGCAGCAAGCAGTCTCCCAGCCCTGGCAGTTACTCCCCTCAGCACATGTTCGCTTGAAAGAGGAAGAAGTGAGACGTGTAAAGTAACAAGACAAAGAAGTAGCTCTGCCCTGAGACTCAGGGAGCCCCAGTGGTGAGGGCATGAGTGGACAAGTCCTGTTGCCCATCGTGACCTACGATGGACAGGGTGCCTGTGGTCACCCGTGTAAAGACCAAGAGGGCGGCCCAGGGTAGTCTAGAGCCTGCGCTTTGGCTGCGAGAGTCCGCTCGGCAAGTGTGTGGCTTCCGCCTGTCAGCAAACCCAGAGAAACCCAGCTCCCCCAGCGAGAGCCCCCCCTTCCTGACACCGCTCTGAGGCCACAGGGGATGTGAGCGCTGTCGGTCCTGTCCAGGAAGACTACGCCTGTCTCTGCCTCTCAGGAGGGCAGCGAGGGGGGCCCCCACCCAAAATCACGGCTACATAGGGTAACACAGCAGCCGCCAGCCAGCAGTCACAGAAGGATAGAAAATGAAAAGCTGGCACTTGCTCCTCCCCAGCGACCCGTCCCACTCTTCACTGTCTTTTCTGGAAGCTTCCAGAAGGTTGTGCACCGTGTGGTGGGTACAGCGGCGAGGCTGTGCCACGCCAGCCCCGGCACCTTGCTCTTCCACACAGACGAGTCTTGGCAGTGTGTCCGTGGCGTCCTCGCCAAGGGCCATGCCCGGTCTTGAACCCCCAGGGCAGGCGCTGACTGTTTCCCAGACTCTCCTCTGCCCGCTCGCATTCTCCAGACTTCCTGCACCAGTTCGCCCTGGCTCGGTGGCCACCGGGCCTCCGGGAAGCACATTTGCGTGAGGCAGCGGGCAAGCTGGCCTCAGTCTATGCTGTGCGTGTACTCCTGCTTGTGTTGGTCACCCTGGAGGACACTGCCTGTGCACACTGACCGTCGTAGGAAGGACAGGCAGGCCACGGCCACCCTCCGCCCGGCCCCGCACGGGAAGGTTCCAGAGAGTGGACCTGACCTTGACCCCAGCAGAATGCACCTGCCCCTTTCTGCGGCTGGTTATTCAATTAAATGAGGGCAGCCGACGAGGTGCAACTTCCTAGTATGATCTCCCTCAGAATAACAAGTCCTTCAGAGCCCTGGATCTCCTCAGACCCTCTGATTCGGCCTCCGGCTTCTGCAGCGCTTTCTTCCCGGTGACAGGCTGAAAGATGCCTTCACACGCAGCCTAACCCCAGGCCCCTCCACCCCAGCGCACAGGTTTAAGGAAAACTTTCATTTTCTAAATTGCGACTCCTCACTCTTCGAGCTCAGGGGAAATTCCAGAGAGAGGTAGAGTGAGAAAGAAGAAGGCCAGGGCTTTTCGTTCCTATTTTAGCTTTCTTTGGCAGTTGAGCTTTGGCTTCTAGAACTTTTCCACTGGAAGATGCTGTGTGAATATCATGAAGATGCTACTCAAAGGAAAGTCAGACCTGAGTGTTCTCTTCACAGAACAGATGGACAGATCTCAAGCGAGACGGATCCATCTCCAGCCAGTGAGAGACGCCGTAGCTTGGCCCGTCTTCCTCTTAGAGACTTCCCCTTCTTTTATTTTTTACCCTCTCGCTCATCTTGGCAAGGTTAAGGAATCATGAAGGGGATGCAAATAATCTCTTCTAACAGAGCACATGGTCCTGCTTCAGGGAGCACCTACAGGATGCGCTTGCAATCTTCCGGCAGCCAGGGCTGCCTTGGCAGGTTCCGGAAGGACGTCGTCCTCCACGAGGCACCAGCTCTTGCTCACGGCCCACCCCGCTCCCCCCGCCCCGCCCCCACAAGGCTCCTGCCGCTTCTCCAACCTCTGCCCTCACCTAGGGCGCTTGGTCTTTCACTGGCCTGGCCTCCACCTCTGCCCTCGCTGACCTGGGGTCTGCCCGACCTTGCCAACAGCACCACCCATGGTTCCTGGTCCTGACGGGTTGGGACAGCTCCTTGCTGCCGCTCACCAGACACCTGTAGCCTCCTGTCCGAGTCACGGCGACCAGAGTGACACCCCCCCCAACCCTGGTTGCCAAACATCAGGGGAGATGGGCCAGGGGAGAGCAGACGCCAGCTCACCCCGGTGGGATCGCCAGCACCCCCAGGGGAGGGCTGGCTGGTTGGCTGCTGCCATCAGCATGGCGCGTCAGAAGTGGAAGCTGGCTCTGTGGGTGAACAGGTGTCACTGCTGGCCTGCCGTAGGCCCCGAATGATTCTTGGGGGGAAGCACTGAGCCCCTCTTTCTTCCCTGAAGTGCCTTTGGAATGGTTGGGGGTAGCCTGTGCCTGTGGGGGGTGGCAGACTCTGCCCCCAGTGTGGGTACCCTTTTGGGGAGACGCTGCCCCCAGTGTGGGTACCCTTTTGGGGAGACGGGTGCTGCCTTCAGGAAGGCCTCCCGTGAGGAGACCGAGAGTCGGGGTAGCCTCCGCCGAGTGACAGGAGGGCCCCAACAACCCCCATCTCCCAGTGCTCCGGCCCTCTTAGGTTCGTCTTGTTGCCAGAGGGCAGAAATAGTGCAAAGAACTAGTCTCTCCTGGACACCTTCTAGAAGCCCGGGGAGAGGCATGGAAAGGCAGGCTGGAGGGCTCGCCGCATCAGGGAAACACAGCTCCTCCGTTCCTAGCTCTGTGCAAGGCAGGACACAACCTCACAGGCGCCGGGGGAGGGGAACAGTGAGTCTGCCCAGGTCACAGCTGGGGAAGGAGGGACAGCGTGTGGGGAGCTGTGAAGTGTAGGGTGCCTGGGTGCTCTGGAAGCTTCTGCCCTGCTCAGCTCGCACTGCCCCAGGTAGGTGCCAGCAGGCGGAATGGCATCAAGCAGCCCGGTCTGGATCAGCAGCGCCCGGTAAACACTCCTGGCTGAGCTTCCCCCCAAGATGCGCCACCGCCCTCTGGGTGCTGGAGAGACCCGAGCGACGCCCCCCACCCCCGCTGGGGATCAGACTCCCAAGCAGCTGCTGCCGCTCTTGTGTTTCCCAGTGTCCCCCACAGGGCAGCCCCTTGGCCTGGAGCCCCGGGTGACCCTGGCGGACGGGAAATCCGCCTCAGGACGCCAGTGCAAGCCCCTCCAGCCCTGCTGTGGCCTGCAGTGGCCCCGTGCCCTGCCGCCTGCCCGTTGGCGGGTGCCCCTGTGCCGATACTGCTTGAAGATGAACACGAGGGCCGAGATTTTTTTTGCGTGTCCCTCTGGGAGAATAGCCATGCTTTGTATCTGTATATGGTTGCAAAAACCCCGAAGGGGGGCGGTCAAGGCAGCCTCTGCGTTCAGGGGCAACGGCCTGCATTCCCTCTGTCCTCCTGGCTGGCCAGCTGCAGCCGTGACGGGGTCGGGGGGACACACGCGTTCTCATATGCCACCCGCCAGTTCGTGTACCCCACTCTCCCCTCGGGAGGTGGAGGTGAGCCAGAGAGGCTGTCCCCTCGTTGGTGCCTCATGGCCAGTGAGCGTTTCTTAAGCGGCTCAGCTAGGGCTCTTTGAAAGCCACAACTGCGACTCCGCTGTCTGCTGTGCCTGGCCTTCCCGTCCAGCAGGCCTGCCAGCGTGCCAGGATTCCTCCCGCAGACACCCTCGGAGAGCTGCTCCTGGGCTTGCTCAGATACGCTGACCGGCCCTTCTTTTTCTTTTTTTCTCCACAGTGTGGCAAAGGAGCGGAAAACTTCGACAAGTTCTTCACCCGAGGGCAGCCTGTCCTAACCCCGCCCGACCAGCTGGTCATCGCTAACATAGACCAGTCTGATTTTGAGGGGTTCTCGTACGTCAATCCCCAGTTCGTGCACCCCATCTTACAGAGCGCAGTATGAAACTCACCACGGAAACCAATGCCTCCCCTGTTCCCAGCACCCCCAGCAGTGGGAAAAGATCCTTAACCCTAAAATTTTAAGGCCGAGGCCTAAAATTTCTTGTTCCAGATGGTGGCCTGAAAATTGTAGGGTTATTAGTTCCAACGTAAGCAACGTCCAGGGTCCCTCTCTTACAACCAAGAACATGATCTCAGCGGAAGATGATGTAACGTCCAGTGTCCCGTTTTGTATGTAAGGGTCACCTCTGGCAGTAGGCTAGCTCTTGCTAGAGAGCAGACAGACCCTTGCCCTGTTTTGGTACGACTTGATATGTTTTCCACGCCCCCTGTCTGTTGATTTTCTCCATCTGGATCCCCCAACCAGAGATGTCAAAGTGAGCCACCCCACCCAATGGGCTGGAAGCGTCTTCACCCATACAGATCTTTGGAAAGAAAGAACCAGGCGTCCAGAGAATGAGCAGGGTGGGACTGAGGGCGAGGGAATCTCTGAAATGCCCTCTGCTTCTGTTCTCGGCTCGATGGAATAAATAGTCCCTAGAACCCGGGAAGCTGGGTCCAGCTAGTTCTACGGCACAGCCGGGCAGACCCTCCATTCCCGCTGACCGTCGTGACCGTGGTCCAGCTTTTTAGAGAGAAAGACAACCTCAGACAAGTGTTGGGTGACTGTCCTCATGTTTCCTCCTTGGTTGATAACAATTTTGATGCTTGCATTTCTTTTTTTTAAGAGGCCAAATCTTCTAAGGACTTTGCTAAACGAGCATGTGGAATCATTTCGAATCAAGGATAACCCAGTGTGTGTGTGTGTGTGCGTGTGTGTGTGTGCGCGTGTCCATTTTAATCTCTGGGAGATTATTCTGCGTCCAGGGTGCCATCAGCAATCATGCCACTGCTTACGAGCATTGTTAGCCAAGCCCCCACACCCCGACATTTTGCTACCTGCTCCCTAAGACGCTGAAGTATATGCCCTGCCCCCTTTTGTACTTATTTATTTGATAGGCTGCAATGTCCTTTATGAGAGTACGATGTACAGTAACTTAGAGTGTGCGCTCCCGCGTCAGTCTCTGTGGGTTGAGCTCTGTCTCCGGCCCTCGGCCTCCACTTCGGGAGGAAAAGCAGCACAGTTTGGCTTCCCACTTGCGGCTCATGCTGAATGACACGCCAGGAGCTGTAGAGTCAGGAAACCTGGATGCCTGTCCGCTCAAAGGTGTTTTATTGTTAGAAGGATTTTAATAATGTTTTGCAAATGCATCATGCAATGAATTTTGCATGTTTATAATAAACCTTAATAACGAGTGAATCTATATTATTGATATAGTCGTATCAAGCATAAAGAGAGTATTATAATAATTTTATAAGACACAATTGTGCTATATTTGTGAAGTCTCTTGTTTCTAACCTGCTTTTATGGTTAAGTTTTAGCTAATTCTCTGCTGTCTGCTTCCTCCTCCCCCACCCCTTCCCTCCCTGGCACATTGTATCAGATATATTAATTTTTTATCATAGATCTAATTTCAAAACAGAATGGCTACTTTACATGATCATTTAGACATACATATATATATACACACATCTATATATGTATATAAATATCTGATTCTACCTTCAAACAAAAGTTTTGTTTTGGGGGGATTATTTTTGAGATGAGACTGTCTCTTAGCCTCTTCATCTTCCGTTCTGGTAGCACCAACTTCCTCTCGGGCACAGTGGGGGTACTTGACAGTCGTCGCCCTCCTCTGTACAAATGTGTTGCCGCCTGGGCCCTTGGGCTGGGCCTCGTGTCTGTTTCTTCCTTTAGCCTTGTTACTGGAGGTGACGCGGTGGGAGGGACAGGAAGAAGCCCTTGCTGGTGTGTGTGTGGACATGCAGAAGCCTGCAGTCTGTCTCAGCACCCCTGGACCCACCCCTGTTTGTTCCAGCATGTACAGCCCTGAGACAAACCACCCAGCACACTCTGGAGAGGCTGCAGCTCTTTCAGCGGGGCTGGACCCGGCTTCCCGTCAAGAAAGCCGCTCCTCTGCGGAGAGGCGCCCCCGCCCCAACGCCAGATCCACAGAAGAGCGAGGCGTCGACAGCAGAGAGAACATTCAAGATGGGAGTGTCTCTGTGTCCCTCGCTCCCCAAAGACTGTCTCCCAGCTAAGCGCCTCCTTGTTTACTCCCTGGCTGTTTGCTTCAAGTTCGTGGCACAAAGCCATGGCAGGGGCTTAGCCCTGAGAGCGCTGGGCTGGCCTGGGGTAGGGAACTCCTCCCGCCTTTTATGGACTGTAGACCTCGGAACTCACAGGGGCCCTGGGTCAGCCAGAGCTGCAGGCCTGCTGGGCAGTGCGTTTTGGGGGGCACTTCCTGTCCAGATGGCACCTATAAGTCTGGTAGAAAAGGGGCCCGTTTATAGAGAGCCCCAGAAGCACAAGGGCTGGTCCCACTGCCCCAGAGCGGAACGACAGCACGGCTGATCCCCAGCCGAGCCCAGGAAGTGAGGAACGTTTGGAGAGAAACGCGCAGACTGTGGGTCATTTGTCCCAAGCCCCAGCTGCCTGCTTGCTGTGAGCCAGCAGCAGGCCCAGGCCTCCCTTGAACGTGCCCCCTCTACGCTCTCCATATTTTTAGCCTTTCTCCGGGAAGGAGGCGGCAGCCTGCGACTTGCTGCTTTCGAAGGCGAGGGGTCTGCTCGAGCACCCACAGGCTCGCGGATAACAGTGGGGAGAGCCAGGGCCCGGTGAGGCGGAGTCTGTTCTGTGCCCTGACTTGCCCTGAATGGAGGGAAAGGCTGACGCTGGCAGGGGCTGCCCGAGACCATCATCGCCGGGAGAAAAAATCATGGGGAGCAACAAACGACAGCCACAGAATCCACTTAAAAAGCCCCGTGGCAGCGTGGAAGAGCTAACAGCAGAGAAGGACTGGAGCTGAGGATCAGGTCACAGTGGGGCGGGGTGCCTGAGGGAGCCCCAGCCTCAAGCCCGGCCTGCCGAGGGCCAGGCCCCCCCGCGGGATCGGGATCGGGCGCGTCCTGGACCTGTGCGGGCCAGGCCCCGAAAGGCCAGTGTGGTGCCCGGCGGCCCTTTCCCGGGGAGGGCGTTGCTCACGGAGCCTGCCCTGGGGCCCCTTCTTGGCACCTCATCTCAACCCAGCAGGTGCTGCCTGGGAAGGAGCTAGCTGGGGTGGGGCTCCCGGTGCCACCCTCAGAGGTTGGGGGCTCCCAGCAAGGCAGGAGCCAACTCAAAGTCAGCAGCGGCCCGGAACCTGACCGATTACCTCTCTGGTCGGCCACTTCTCCTTGCTCCAGATGACCTGGAGCGAATCAGTGGAGAGTCCTGTCAGCCCTTACAACGAGGCGTTTCAGGCTTTCTTGGTAGGAATTTGGTAGAAATCAGAGGGATCAGGGCTTGAGGAGATGGGCTGGAGATGAGGGCGGACCCCGTGAGTGGAAGCCTGCGAACGCTCTGGGCCCGCTCAGGCCTGGCCTCTCCACCAAGCGTGACGTCGCGCTGGGACTTGGGGACAGAACCCACAAGCCCAGTCACCGGAGAAGGGGGCCCGGTGGAGGCCGAAGATGGCCAGGAGCTTCGCGAGCGGCCGGGTGGAAGCGTGTTGGGAAGGTCGCCCGGCCCGAGGCAGCGGAGAGCAGGACATCAGGACGTGGGAAGGCGGTGGCGCTCCGAGCCTTCCCCCGGGGGTGTCGGCGCCGGTGAGCATCACGGTCTGCTGGTCCTGGAGAGCAAGATTGTTGCCAGGAACACAAAAGCCACTTCCCAAATGCCACCGGCACCCGGGCACCCCCGCCAGCTGCGCGAAGCCGTCGCCTCTTGTCCGGAGGAGGCGCGCAAACCCGCCGCCCGCTCTCCCTGTGCTTCCGGCCGCAGTTACAGCCACGAGGACCGATGGAGAAGCGCGAAGCCGGCCAGCCCTGCCGCTGCCACCAGAGTCCACTTTGCAGGAGAAAACGGGGTGTTTTGCTGGGGGCTTTCTCCGTACTGAGAGAAGGGGACCCTGGGTCTTTAAAACTGCCCACAGGCAACGCCTGCCAGTCGCTGTCTCCCTGGGGCCTCAGGCAGGCACCTTTTTCACAACTTCCTGTTGCTTTCACTCTGGGGGGGGCCGCACCCCCCCTACCCCCACCCCCAGGGAGCACTCAGCAGCAGGTAGTGAGGCAGAGGCCCCCAGGCCGTTGTAGGGCAGGGCAGGGGCGCTTGGAGGCGAGGCGCTGGTCTGACAAGGAGTGCTAGAAGCACCCCCTAGGTCACCTGGGCGGCGCTCCCAGACCCCCTGAGATGCACCCGGCTG